GTAAATCTGTGGAAATTACTTTTGACTATACAGCAATTACAACGGGCAACACTGACTACTGTCTCATTTGTCACTTTCACATTTAGGCAACCATGCAGGGTGGAGGACACCAACGGAGCAACTTTGTCTTGTTTATATTGGCTTTACTGGTCACATTGGAGGTCTGCAGGGTCCAGGGCTGTCGGGTCGGCTCAGGCTCAGAGTGTGAGAAAACCCCGTTCGTCCCGGGCCACAACCTGGCAGGGGAGGGTTTTGATGTGGTGCGGATGCGTCGAACAGGCGCATATGTCATCAATGTCAAAGGTCATCTGGTTGACAACCACACCTGTACACTGTGTCCAAATCGCTTCCAACAAGGCCAGGTGAAAACTGTAAAACTCAATCTTCTCTTCTCACTCTTCCATGGTGCCTTCAATCAGTCTAAATTCCCTTCATCTAATTCCATTCACACCACTTTGGGCTCTTTTTTTGCTCCTTCTGCCCACTGTTTTTCCTCCCTCTGTACTATTCCCCACTTCCTTTAACTATTTTCTTCCTCCACCTGCATCCTGCCTTCTCTCTCCTCCTCAGATTCAGAGGCTGCCAGCAGCAGTGCTCGACTGGCGTCCCTTCAGTCGCTGCAGTAAACAGCTTTCTAGTGCCCTCCACCACTCAGTGGACTCCCTGCTGCGCAGCTCCAACTCACTGGTGAACAACAACTGGGGCCTGGGTTTGAGTTTGGAAAACATTGGCAAGGCAGTGCTGGGAGGAAGCCGCTCAGACTTGGCAAAGTTTGCTCGTTCGCAGCACAGTGTGGACAAGGCCACTTTCGCCATCCACGAAATCAGCTGCACCTACTACAGGTAAAGAGGAGTGTGTGTTTATAAATTGTGCTGATTGTAATGATATTGTATTTGCTGATTGATGTAGTTTCACTGGAATTAATAAATTAATCTGACTGACATTCAGCACCAAAAATATGTTCTCATTATTTGACGAAAGGGTTGCAATGAATGTTTCATGCATATACATATTAGAGGATGTGAGGATTCTGGTTTTAAGTCTTTTAAATGTGGATAAATATGGATATTATTTTCGATACATTAATCAAAATTCATTAATAAGAACAAAATTTGCAGGTGGCTCAACAGATGCCAGTTGTAAAATTAATATCTGCAGGTACTCGCTCATAATTCTTTGAGACACCCACTGCATGTAAAGAAAGCAAATGTATTAGCATATACCAGTCACAGTTTAGGATGTTAGCTGGCAGATGTTTCTGAGGTTGTGAGGAAAAATAGACAGAAATGAATTAACAAACACAGGGTCCACAATGAAGCCTTTTTTGTGACGTTACAAGCTACGACAGCTTAAGTTGAGGCCTTACGGTGAACCCGACTGTTTATTCTATGAGTCAAGATCATATTGTCACTGTGTTATGGTTGAACTCCACGTGCCTTTTGTTTTTTCAGCTACAGGCTGGCTGATCATCCCCAGCTGAGTGCAGAGTTCACAAAGCATCTGAAGAGACTCCCACAGAGTTTAAATACAAGCCAGGACAGAGCCCTGTATAGACGGCTGATAGACACCTATGGAACACACTACATACACCAGGTCAGGCGGTTGACACAATCTACTTTTCCTGTCTTTTATCGTGTAGCACTTACTCTGCAGAATGTCTTTTTGGAAGGTTTGCACTTTGGAACAAGTACAAAATAATGCTGAAGATAATGACAGAGTAGGTATGAGGAACCTTGTTGCTCATAAGCCAAAAGGGAGTTTTCAGCCTTCATTTCATCATTTGTTTGCGTCTCCTAGGTCCAGCTTGGTGGTAAGGTGAGGCGAATCACCGCCTTCAGGACCTGCCTGGCCACACTGAAGGGCTTCTCCGAGACTGAGGTCAAAAACTGCCTGAATGCTGAACTCCGAATGGCTCTTGGTTTCCTCCCTGCCAATGCATCCTTCTCCAACAAGTGTGACAACCTCCTGAAAGGCAACATGAGCATGGGCTTCTACCAAGGCTTCATGACCCATAAGATTGAGGTTATCGGAGGGGAGAAGTACTTCCCTGACATCCTCTACCAGCAGGAGCCATCTGAAGCTTACCACAGCTGGATGAACAGCCTCCACGACAATCCTGATGTGGTTTCTTACGCCATCTTCCCTCTGCATCATTTAGTGGAGGACTCCGAGATCAGTGATAATCTCAAAAGCACTGTCACAGAGTATATTAAAGAGAACCAGCTGAAAGAAGACCAGCTTGGACTCAAGAACTGCTCCCCGACTCCCAACCTGGACCATAACTGCTGTCCTCTACGTGCTGGCAGAGGAACTCTCAGACTGGAGATGCACCGAGCTGCAGGTTTGAGGGCGGATACCTTCACGAAGACGGACGCCTTCGTGAAGATCTTCTACAACGGCATATACGAGGAGACTGAGACGGTGATGGACAACAACGACCCAGTGTGGAATGCAACTTATGACTTTGGATCAGTGGAACTGGGTCAAGAGTTGAGGTTTGAAGTCTGGGATAGAGATGTACTTTACAATGACGTAGCGGGCAGATGTGTTGTCTTTCCTGAGCGAGGAACTCACTCTCTAAGCTGTCAGCTGAGCAAAGGAGTTCTCTATTTCACCTACACCATCAAATGCGACGCTCATTTGACAGGCTTCAGGTGTGGACGATACTCCCCCAATGCTGAGTAGATTTGTTACGTGTTAATCTAGATTTTAGTGTTGTCTTGACACATGACGTTAAACTTTCAAGTATCAAATGTTTTTTATTGTCTCATTTCCCTTGCATTTTAACTGCAGACATTTGTTAGCATTTTTGATGCCAAACAAACTTCCACTTCCCTCACATAGATTTCATAATGTACATTTCTATAAGAGTCCATCCAAGGAAAAAACATAGCTGTCAGCCCTTTTCTATGTAAATGTCATGTAATGTTGCAGTATAAACTAACAAAAGTCAAAGCCCTTGTGAATCCAAAATAAAGTGATTTTGATTCAGGGTTTTTTCTTTTTTTACTGCTGAATGTCACATTGAGTTGTCTTACGTCTGATGCAATTCCATTTATTGATAATGCATTGATAACCACAAGGGCTACACACACACACTCAGCATTTCTATAAACGTACTCATTCATGCAACCTTTAATTTAAAAGGAATAAATTCTCAGGTCATTTCAGAGAAACTGGATTAAGTCATTCCAGTCTCTAGATCTAAATATCATTAAACCTTGAAGTTGCCATATTATGCTCATTTTCAGGATCATAATTTTATTTAGGGGTTTAATTTTCAAAAAACTACATATTTTTGTCATACTGCACATTGCTGCAGCACCTCTTTTCACCCTGTGTGTTCACTGCTCCGTTTTGGCTACTGAGTGAAGCATCTTGCTTCAATAGGAGTTGCACCACAGACCGTTTATTACTGGACGAAGCCACCCTGCAGATTTTAATGGAGAGCAGTGAAGCCAGTTTTGGTCCTATAAAATACATGTCTTTCGCGCATGATCGCGCAGCACAAGCATGGTTTAGTGATCCAGAGTAAGGGCAGAAACACTGTAATTCTGGTAGCTGCGTAATTTATGGAAGTAAAGGCTGGACTACAATCGAGCTGTTTTAAGGCAGTTCAGGAGCAGTGCTTTCTGTGGGAGAGAGTAACCCCTTCTGGGCTGGACGTTTTCACTTTGCAAACCTATTACCAACACAAAAAAGAAAAGGGAAATATGACCTCTTTAATGTAAAAAGTGCAGTATATTTGCATTGTCATTATTTATATCCTTTTTTTAATTTGCATGTTGGTGAAATTCGACTTTTAAATGACTTTTAATAACGATCATAGTAGACTCAAAATGGCCAGTCTTACAGTATATATTGTAATATTATTAAACATTTCGTAATAAGTATTAACGCCAACCCTTGCTCCAGAATGGTTTAAGTCTTGGCAGCTCCTCCTGCGGAATCACCAAGGCATGACCACACAAATATTTATTCTAATTTTTATTATTCAGTTGAAACAAGAACCTTAAAAACATACAAATGACTTTGTAAAAGCTTTTACATCAACACGTGTACACTTACAACACATTAGCCACTCATGAATGCAGTAGCTGCTTCCTCACATCATCATCATTATCTCTGTGTCGCTTGGCTTAAGACATTTAAGGGGGGTAGAGGAAACCAAATCAAGCACCATATTTATTAAAGACATTCTAGTTCCTATTTTTGTTTCAGTTTTTCTAGTTTTAGACACTCGAAAAACTGGAATATTTGTGTAAGAAATTCACCGACTACACCCACACAATCAAAAAAGGTCAATCAGTCTGCCCTTGCTGAACAACGGACTCAAAATATGACAGGATAAAACTCAACACATTATACTTACAGTGACAGAGAATACAATTTTTCCAGATACTTGGGTGACTTTTTGATGCAACCACAACTGTCAGAAATGTTTGATCAGGCATGGTAGCAGAGGAAATATGAATTGAAACATTTTCAGTATACTTGTCCTAACTGCTGCTGTTCAAATGCTCTGTTAAAACATCAAATTTTTAAGAACTGGCAAGTACAACAGGCAAGATGCAACACTGTATGACAGATGTTAAAAAAAATCTTCCATTCTGCGTGCATCACCTCTTCGGGTATGCAATTATTTCATCCATCAAATAATGCCAGCAAGCAAAATTGTCCTTACCGGCATACAGCACCATCATGTGTGAATAATTTAACACTGCATGGATTATGTGAACTTAAACTATGATACTTTTGTTCAGTCAAACAAGTTCGATGGTGTACTCCAATACATGCTGAACTTCCAAACACCACTTTCTTTCAAGTTTCTACAGCTCGAGACCTTACCATGTTGCGCATAATCTTTAAAAGGGCAAAATGTTTGTTTTGTCTTTATATACTGGTCTCGTAATCAATGTAGGAGCAAAAACTGTGTGCATGTAAAGAATAGTGTTTAGGCACAGCTACCATGCTACACAGTAAATGAGATCTCAACATCAGAACCTTTTTTTTTTTTTTTTTTTCATGGCAGCAAATGGTTCTCAGTAGTTTTCCGGTATGGACACCCTCAAGTCTGCCCAGGATCACAGGAATGCCATCACAAATGTATTTGTACAGTCAAGTTTCATGTGTTTGCCATTACAGTCCCAGTGAGGCTTTCAGTAAAGATGCCATATCTTCAGGTATGGTCCCCTCACCACCTAAAGAACACATGACATGCTTACATTTTTTTCCCCATTTGTTAATAATTCAGAAGGTTAGGGTAAAAGCAATTCAACTGGTTCAAACACTTTGTGCCTGGAAATATGGCTTACCTTGTTGCCACGACGTACGATTGGTCATGCCCTTAAGGTTTAGATGCAGAGCCTACAGTCTTACACCAGAGCTTGGTGACACCTGGAAGTTGCTTTACATCTTCTCTGATCCTTATTCTTCTTACAATCTGTGCTTTATTTACCTAATATTGTGAATTGTTTCTCCACATTGTAATTTTACTATGGACAACATGTACCGTATACAGACAAACATTGTCCGTCTGGCCTGGAAGAAGGATCCCTCCTTTCTTGCGCTTCCTGAACTGATTTGTGTACTGCTCATATTATTTAACACATAATTTTTACAGATCTGTTCAAACTCACAGTAAATTCCAAGTTGAACTGATGGATTAACTATTGTGAATTTTAAATTTTTGACTTTTAGATAAACTATTCAAGAGACCTTCCACCAACAAATACTCGTTTAGGGAAAAGATTTTCATTATTGCCTTCTCTCCAAGGTTTTAAGATGCAGTGGACCCTCATAAATAGATGTGGAAGTGGCAGAACAGTGTTGGAATCTCACTTGTGAACTCCTTATCATTGATTTATTTAAGTCTTACAAAGTCTGGTAAACATTTATTGTGCCATAAACAAACACTGCCTAGCACTATCTACATAAATCAGCTTTTTTGGTGTTGTTTTGATTATTTAGATTGCATATTTAAATTCAACAAATTTCATGTATTTATTACAGAGGTCATGTGCATGCAGTCAAGAAAGCGTATGTATGTGTACAAATCTCCTTACCCTGTTCAGCAGCGGTCATGTCCTGTTCCAGCTTTAGTTTCTTCTGGCCCAGCTGCAGTATGCAGTCCTCTATGCTGTCCTTACTGATCAGCTTAATCACCTGTACAGGCCTGACACCCACAGCGAGGTACATTAGTCACTACTGTAAATCAGTACATTAAGTACAGTTCTGAAGGGGGACATTTTTATCTGAGGAAGATGTCCTGTAATTGTAATTGACACCTACTGTATTATTCTGAGATTTTAACCCCATCAGAAGCTGCACTGTCTGTCCAACAGCTGACATAATAAAAGGAAATTCCAATTACAGGACCTCTCTGGGTAAAACAGTATTGTTTACAGATTTCATCTTACTTGGTCTGGCCTACACGGTGACATCTGTCCTCTGCCTGTTTGTCATTGTAGGGATTGCAGTCGATGTCATGTAGGATGACAACATTAGCTGAGGTGAGGTTGATGCCCAGGCCGCCAGCGCGTGTCGACAACAGGAACACAAATATGTCAGGATCCGTGTTGAACTCATCAATCAACACAATCCTGCAGGACAAAGGAAGAATTTTAGCCATTAACATGTGACACACTTTATGGTAGGGCTGGGCGACATGGCCAAAAATGTTATCACGATAAAAAAAATTTCATACCATCCGATTAGGGCTGCAGCTAACGATGATTTTAGTATTCGAAACTTTGATAGATTATTTCAACGATTCATCGCATTTGCTCGGTGGCGGCGCGCCCCCCTCCGCCAAAATGGAGAATAACAAACGCACGTGTGTACATTAACCAGTAACCAGGACATCCTTGTAATGGATTTCTTTCCTGGTAAAATAAAAATAAAAAAAACGCTGAGGTCTGCGGTTTACTTTGGCTAGCCTTCAACTCAACAGTCAATCATGATTTCAGTTAAATGCTAAAGTTGCTGTTACTGTTACCTTGTCTGTAATCCGCTGGCAGAACACTGGCTTCTTTCTGATAAGGTGCCGTCGTGCTGTCCCCGAAGCGACATAAGTTTCGTTTTACGGTTGACGGACGATAACATTACAGTGTTTCTTTAGCTTGAAATAATCCCATACTTTGGACACTTTCTTCTTTGTTCCTCGCTATTTTCTCTCTTCCTCCACTTTGCAAACAGCGCCATCATAATCACGTTGTTCACAGCGTAAGCGCGATGTGCGACAGTAATAAATGTCCTTGTGAAACACTGTGCTGTATAGTTAAATGGATTAAACGGAGCATCGATGCAAAGAATTTGTGTTGAAGCATTTTATTAAAAATCAATGTTATCGATTTAATTGATGAATCGTTTCAGCCCTACATTCGATATTGATAATTATCACCATATAAGTCAAATCATTATTTCATTCAAATTTAATATCTGCTTTTTGCTCCCGAGTGAAAATTGTAGGAACCAGATGGTTAATTATGTGATTAAACTTTTCTTTATGGTCAGAATGTACCAAAAACTTGATGTACTCAACAAATGTGAGGCATTCAAAATTATTATGATAAAATCTTTTTTTCAACAAATATGATTAGTAAATATTTTTTCAGTCCCTTTTCCTCAACAAAATAAACATTTTAACATTTAAACATTTTAATAGAAAGATGCTAAGTCATTCAAATGAATTAAACCAATTATTTATTGACAATATATTGAACATTTATTATATTGTTATTGAGGAAAATTATATTGCGATAATTATCATTATTGTTTTATTACCCAGCCCTAATTTATGGTATGCGGAATATCGAACACTTCAATGTTCCCCTCAATCTGACACCATCATCAGAAACAAGCTAGAATAACTGACATGCTAGAATCAATGAATCAGCTGAGGGTTAACCAATATATCACAAGCATTAAAATCACAATGTACGCATTCTGCAATAATCCCATCAAAAATGATGCCGTTTAATAGGTAAAATTATGCGGTTGCAGTAGGGACGACTATGTAGACTTTGAATTAATAAGATTAAATGAGTCAATGATTCTTCCTTGTTGGCTACTACTGATCTGACTTAAATGTACTGTACAACTCTGACCTGTCGGCTATGGGTGTGGATCCATCCAGTCTGACATAACGATGCTTAAGATGTTTCAGCAGCACTTCCACAATATCCAGCATCATGGTGAACTGACTGAATAATACTACTCGGTCTCCCTGTAAGATGAAAGGAAAGTTGTGATACATGATCTTTTTTTAATCTGTGTAGTCTGCACTCCTCCAGCATGTAGCCTACCACAAATACGGTTCTGCACATTTGTATTTACTTTGTTTTTAAGTGAGGCCAGCAGCTCTGTGAGGTGGTGGAATTTTCCAGAGTCGAGCAGCAGATTGTTTTCGAGCTGGTAGGAGCTGATGGTGGAGTACTGCTGGCACAGACGATGCAGCTCAAAGTCTGACATCACTTCCATGTCCTCCTGGATAAGAGCAGGGTCGGCATCAAAGTGAGTTGGCTCCTGCGGAGGGAAAGAGAAATAGTGGAATATCAAACAAATGAAAGAGTGAATAATTCGAATTATACAGTATATTGTCAACACAAAAATATCTATCATGTTCAGTGGCGCAGTAAAATTGTCACTGTAAGAGTCAATATGTTCTGTGTTCTTCTATGGTATTTAACCTGTTTAGTTAATAGGTAATGGAATTAAAACGAAGTTGGCAGCAAAGAAGGAAGATGTATTATTTATTTCCCAAAAGAAATAGCAGTAACTTGAATGAATGAAAGCACAGGTTATATCTTCAAATTACATCACTTTAATGCTTGCTGTCATCAGCCAGCTAAGCGCTGCGGCACAAATCAGAAGACTCTGACACTTTGGATGCAAAAAAGAACACGCAGACAAGACAAACCAGGGCTTGTCAGGGAGCAGGACTGACCTTCAGCATGAGCTTGCTCATTGCTTTGAGCTTTTCTGTGGTGTAGTACTGTCTATGAAGCAGAGGGTGGTTGGCCATCTTCCTCAACTGCATCATCACATTACACAACTCACGCTCTGCAGAGAGATAAGGCGTGAGGGAAATCATTAACTAGGCATTAAGTTTGGTTATTTGTACAAAATAATACTGTGTTGTACAATAGGAAGCAGTAAATCAGGCTTACTCTCGCCATTGATGGAAGTCTTCAGTTTTTTCATGAGCGTCTGGTAGAGGACCTCCTGTTTCTCACTCATTGAGCAGAACTCTACCTTCTCCTCCTTGGCTGGCAGCTGCTTGAGGACCTGGAAAAGGGAAAGACCACTAGTTATACTAAATATTTACACAGGATTTGAAGTACGATTACTGTCATTATGACCATTATTTAGCAAAAGGGAATGACCTTCAAAATCATTAATAGTAGTTGTTTATCTGTTCAAATTGCTACTCCCTGATTCTTACTTAGATCAACAAAGCTGGATGCAGGTGATCCAATTAAAACCCCATAAATTAATATTTTGCCTGTATTTTTCCCCACAGGTTGTTGAGAGCAAAACCTGAAAGTGTTCAAAATGACAAACTGGGAGACTGAGGTCATTACTTACAGTATGTCTGATGTCCCTATAGAACACACTTTAAACGTGCATAATATTTACACAAAACAAATTTGGAAATTTGCAAGATGAGCTCACCTCGCTCTTGACTCGCCTGAGGATAAAAGGTTTCATGATGAGTTTGGCCTGAGATATACGATCCCTTTCAAAGCGGCTCTGCTCCTCGTGGGATTTCTGACACATAAGATACAACGTTAAACACATTGGTCAGGTGGGCCAAAACAATAACAACAAAAAAATACTTTTCTGGGTAGGTTGGGTTGTTGTTTTTCCCCCCACACTGAAACAACTAATTTCAAGGGACTAAAGGACAGAGGAGGGCTCAGGAAATGCAACACTGGTAAGACGCCAAAGTGATGGTGTCTTTTCACAGCCTGCTATTTAAGTACGAGTACTGCACACAGTTATTTAGTAACATCCATCTTCAAATGGCACAGCTACCATCTGTCCAAACAAACTGAGCTGATGATGTAACACACATTCACACGCTTACCATAGAAAACATTTTGGAGAGCTGTGTAGTGGAGCTGGAGAACATGGAGGGCATAATGAAGTTCAGGAGAGACATCAGCTCTAAGAGGTTGTTCTGTAATGGGGTTCCTGTCAGCAGCAAGCGATGCTCTGCCTACAGGGAAAGAGAAAGGGAGAGAGAGACATCCTAAACTCAACTGTAATGTGTTATACTTCTGGATGTTAAGTGTAGAAAGACAAAAGATTCTAATTACAGTTAAGAAGATACCATAGTGTGTGTGTGTGTGTGTGTGTGTGTGTGTGTGTGTGTGTGTGGGAGGGAGGCATTACAAAATGTCAGTGAACTAACGTTAATAGCCATAAGGTGGCGGTAGCGGAGAGAGTTCATGTTCTTCAGCATGTGCCCTTCATCAAACACAGCATACTTCAGACGCAGCTTACGGAAAAGGCTACGGTCGCTATCGTTTCCTATGGCCAAGTTATACCTGTAAAACAAATGAAACGCAAGCAAAGCAGGATCAAACAAAAGCACGCATTCACTTTGTGTGTTAAGTGCGAGTGACGAGTTGCTTGAAGCTCTTCATGGCCCTACCGTCACCAGCACTGATTTACTCTCCCAGTAGCACGTTTGCTGTCATAATCTGTAAAATATGACGGAGGGTTTTGTGTGCGTGTGTGTGTGTTTGCTCACGTGGTCACAATGACATTGAACTCAACATCTTCATTGAGGATGTCGTGTCTGAGGTAGTGGCGGTCCTCCACAGATCCTGTAAAGAACATATGGGTACACACTCTGCTTTTGTCTCGAAAATGTGAAAAGACCCTGAATAAGGCCCGCGAACAGACCGACAACAGCACCGCATCAAAAAAAACACATGACCTCTTATTCATGGTGTCACAGAAGGTTCCAGAAATGAACAGTGAAATAAGCGCAAGTGCACACATAAGGCACAACTTTCGAGAGATGGATGCCTTGCCTCAAATGAACACAAACTGCACTGTGTTGGCTCAGGGTTTCATAAATCTTCCTGAACTGGACTTTATGGTTTAGGTTTCATCTTCTACCTGTGAAGGAAAATTCCTACTATAAGGGAAGTATCACACAGGGTTACCCTAGGTCATGTTAGGAGCATTTGCTGAGCTAAAGCAAGATGACAGCCTGTGCCTCTCCAAAACAATAAGTCAACTTCTGTCTCCCCTCTCTGCCTGTTTTGTTGACTGACAAACGCAGCTGCCTTGATAAGATGAACTCTGTGGTCCATCTCCTGGGTAACCCGAGGTCAAGCCTGTTTTTATTCTGTTTCATACAGACAGACTGGCTCTCTTTAGAAAGTGTTGCATGTGACTTGAATGACACACGGCGTGACATTAACTTAGGTAAGCACAGTGTCTTGTTTGGAACCAATATCCAATAGAGTATCCACACATGTATAGATGTGTGAACAGTAACCTTATTTGGACATAATGAATCTCTGTAGATCTAAGAAGGATAAATGTTCCCCACCAGGATGTATCGTTCACATTTGGTTTGGTACAACACTGTTTTCTCAATTTGTACTGCTTTTGATAGTCTTGGGCGAGTTTAAATAAATATTTCCGCGTAAGACATCCTGAGCTTCCTGAAACCTCCATAATCAATAAGAGCTGACTCACACCTTTACAGCATACCAACGCAACTTCTTGCTGAGTTTTGCTACATTGCTACTGTTGGCCTGAACATTGGCTAAGACGTTGCTCTACACTACACGAGTCCTCTTTAGCCGTCTCTGTGCATGCTTAATCACAGGGAGCATCCCCGATCCCAACGTGAAAAGATGAATAAGGAGACTCACCATAATAGACTAGGACTTTGAGGCTTGGACACCACAGCTTCAGCTCTCTGACCCAGTTATCTACAACAAAATCAGGATTAATCACAAATAAACATAAAAAATGAGCTTATAAATAATAAGTAAATACTATTTACAGTAATTACAATAATACAGTTTGAACGGACTCTCATTTAAGGTAGCATCTGTGGCAAATTAAAGCAATTCGTTTAGATACACCAGACCAACAGATGAGGAGATAGGAGCGTTGCTGTTGGTGCTACTTGTATATATTTGAATTGTATTTTACAGTTTTATTCTACTCTAATTTTAATATTTGAATATCTGTTTATATCCGTTTTACATGTTTTGTGTTTAGAGTGGAGGCGGCTACAACTGCATTTCACTGTGCAATCCCATACTGTATCATGACAATAAAGCTGAACCTTGACCCAACATCCATAATTGCCTTTTCTCCACACAAAAAATGCTATGTGTAAACAATGACTTAGACAACAGACACTACACGCCATTATGCTAAACATCATTATCAAAGTGTATGCTGTTAGATGATATAATACGAAGCAAGGTAGCAAAATGTGTGACTTGAGGAGAGCATTACCCAGTGTAGAGGCCGGCACGGTGATGAGGTGAGGACCATCTATTCCATTCTGGTACAGCTGGGACAGAAACGCTATGGCCTGGATAGTTTTCCCCAAACCCTGAGAGAACGAGATACAGTCAGTCAGATACCAAACATAAAGATAAAAGACAAAGGAAGAACCAGCTGGACATACAAGAAAAGAGATTTGAACATCTGCGTTTCAGATCACGTACTGCCAGTATAAACAGTAAACATCCTGACAGACTCTAACAGCCCTGCAGCTTTACTAAACTATACACATCTACATTACATTTATTCATTTAGCTGACGCTTTTATTCCAAGTGACTTACAATTGCTATTTATGTCAGAGGTCGTACGCCTCTGGAGCAACTAGGGGTTAAGTGTCTTGTTCAGGGACACATTGGTGGATTTGTCACAGGGGGAGTTGAACCCGGGTCTCTCACACTAAAGACATGTCTTATCGACTGGTCCATCACCACCCTTTGCTCACTTCCCTCACTGTCTTGGGTCTAAAACAACAAATGTTAACTCTCTGGTGCTTTTACTCTGTTTCTTTCATCCCTGTACTTTGTGATTGTTTATTCCAGGGTACCCCAAGGATTCTCTTAAATTTAAGACTTTTTAAGACCTTTTTAATACCACTTAGGATGAAATTTAATACCAACTTCACTGCTGTTTAATGGAAAATCTGTATGAATTTTAATCCCGAGAAATTTATTTACAAAGTTACGTGAATTTTATAAAATAATTTATTATAATACATTCACTTTGTGTTGAGAAGTGCTGGGGACAAGGGTTCAGATTAGGGGGTATACTTGGCTCACATGCACGATTTTCAATCTTGGGTTCACGAGAACAAGGCACGAAGACATTTTAACACTATTTGATGAAATATTCAATGCTGAAATATATAAATGGGGGTCTGGGTGTCCCCTAGAAAATTTTGAGCACTAAACACTTAATTTCCTCCATTCTGGAGACATTTTCTGCACTAATTTATGGTAGAATTGCCTTTATTTATATAAAGTGATTCGGGTGACAATTCAAAGAAAATAATAGAAAGAATATAATAAATTGTGTGGTATGAGTCATTGTAATTAGTTGCACCTTGGCTAGATAAGGTGATGTAATGTAATCTAATAAGAAAATTGCTTCAGTGATTATTAATTCTATTCTGTGTTTGAATCTAAAGGCCGCTTGAAATACAGTATTTTATAGTATTGACTTGAAAGCAGCGGGGATAAGAAGTTGGGCTCCTGTTTAGGTGATATATGTTTAATGTGCGTTAACGTTAGTTTGAGGTTTCCATTCTAATAAATATACTCTACAACAGTGGCACAACGCCGGCACATGACACCTTTCTCTCTGTTGCCGTTGTAACATTAACTAACCAGTAACCTGCAGCGGGTCTTCCAGCTCCGCTGTTCCATTAGCGCTCGCCAAAGTGTGACTGGCTCGCACTCCGACCCGCTTGTTGCGCTAACCTCAGCAGCACTGCCCTCAGCCTCAACCGCCAACTTGTCCGTGTCTCTGGCTTTCTGAATTTCAGACACTTGCGCATCCTCAGGCGACGAGCTAGCGTTACCTTGTTAGTAGCACATCAGAGAAGTTTTGTTTTCTTTCCTGACAGCTGACTGATATGCGCAAGAGCTGGATGCCAGAGCTCGTGCACTGCGAACACTCCACAGTCCAGAGTGTAAAGCTAAACATTGACGTAAAACAAGAACGTTGCTTGTACTGCCACACCAAACGGAGTATATTATAAGTGTCACACACACAAAGTATTTATTTATGATGTCATGGCATTAATTTAATCCTACAAAAGGCCGAGAAAAAATTTAAGACCTTGGTAAATGAAATGTAATACTTTGTAAATGAAACTGAATACTTTCAAAGCCTTATTTTTGGAATATGAAATTTAAGACTTTTTAAAATACTTTTAAGACCCCGTGGGTACCCTGTTATTCACATGCCCACATATCACACACAAAACACGCTTTGATACAGACACAGTACCACTCATCCAGTGGTGACTTAAATACGCTGTGAGCACCTGCAGTTCTGCTTGGCTTATTAAAATGTTTACGTTTAGGGGTTTTCATTTGTTTTGACTTTGGGCTTGTGATCAACATCTCACAAATACTGGTAGTGCACGCTGGCACTTCCGGTAGATCCTAGACTGGTTGGCTTACCATTTCATCAGCAAGGATGCCACTCAGATTGTGCTCATGCAGAAGCAGCAGCCACTTTAGGCCAATCAGCTGATAGGGTTTCAGCTGCAACCTGAAAAACAACGAACAACAGAGTGGGAACAAGAATTTTATCTCTAAGTTTTATAAAAACACATACTGTAATTCACCAGTAAGTCCTAATGTATCATCTATAAAAATAAAAATGAAAAACTGTTCACTGCATCAGTGAAACCGTCACAGGGTTGACCCTCTGAAAAACAAAAAAAGGGTACACAGACGTAGTTGCAGATATAGTGATGGATGAAATTTATTGTGTTGGCCTCCCTTAGTGCAGATTTGTGCATAAAATATTTACACAAAAATAAAGTTTATGTAAAACTATTTATTTACAACCGTACTACAATTACTTTAAAGCTCAAGTGTAAATTAGTAGATGTTCCCCTCCACCCCTTCCATCAGGCTCATTGATTATATAACATACTGAAAGAAATGCAATTATCTCATCAGAGTATTCAATTGTTCCCCAAATAAACAAAAAAAAATTTCCCCAAACAATAGACTTTCTGATATGCTATCAAATATAGGTCTACACTGAAAGTTTTAATCATGTCACCATTATGTCATCTGAATGGGATCTGGTTACAAAAGTAACAGTAAAGGAGGGGAGTCACACAGGAAAGCAAAAGTTTGGTATGAGTAAGGCAGAACTCACGCCCTCATTTTATACTTATTTCAACACATCTGCGTACATTTGACCATTCATGCATGTTTGAGTATGGTAGCAAGCTGACACCTGTCAACACTACATCACCCAAACATGCTGCTGAATAAGTTGTACCTTTGAAATGGGCAATTACGGAAAAATTTAACATAACAACACCTCTGACATTATTTAAAAAAGACTGGCTAAGCACCTTTTTTATTTTTTTTACCATTTACTAGTTTATCCATTTTATGGACTATTCATGAATTACAGCATGTGTATGTGTGTATTTCACTCACTGGCTGTTGAGTATGCTGGGCTGTTTCATGGCCCCTGTGCCCTTCTCCATCACCTCAGTGACCTGTCTGACCATTTTTAAGGAAATGGTCTCACACTTGGACATGAGCCCCTTGACAACCTTCCGCTCTTTGAGGACAACTCTGCAGCCCAGCAGTAGGCTCTCTGACAGTCCGTTGTCCTTATGGAAGACATCAACCTGAAGACGATCGGACATACCGTTACAATTCACACAATACGTTCCGTATCTAGACAGTACCCTTTGACTACTACTGCAATCTGTTAATAAGTAAATTATTAGATAGGGACAAAATGTTCCAGAATCACTGAGTTACTTCACTGGTGCAACTGTATTGAAAAGCAGACTGCCTTGGCAAGTTTCATATATCTATGATCAGCGCAAACACATCTGAAGTGTGACTCTAATGCTTTTAAGCCATTCTTGAGGAACAACTAAAAACCTAATCTTTGCTTTCGGTTTAAGCAAAGATGATAAATATTTTGCTGTCCTTTTATTGCAACATGACATCCATCCGTAGCTGATTATGCACCATAACTGTTAATATTTACTCTCTGTTGATAGACAGATGTTTGAAAAATGAAGGGGAAAACTGTTGAAATCTGTCAAGAGGTGAAGAGTACTGCTATTTATAGATTATGAAGTGTTGTATTTGCAAACGTGTTCAATTTCAGACTATGACTGACTGTAGCTCTTTGTTTTTATAACTTTTCCCCATTGATAACTTCAGCAAACCATTTTCACACAAAAGAATCACCTGCAGAATGTCTTTTTGCTTTTTCTTCTGTCATTTGTGTACACACACACACACACACACTCTCTCACCAGGCTTTGCCAGCTATCAAAGGGTCTCAGTTCCACAATCTTCTGGGCCTTTTTAACCGAACACCCAGCGATCAATGACAGCTCATCTATAGATGCGTCCTGGAAGAACTTGAGCATCTCTTTCTTCAGATCCGTCATACCACCTTTACAGTCCAGATCGTCGTCAGACTCCTCAAACTCGCTGCTAACTTCATCCTCCTCTTCGTCGTCATTTTCTCCCTCAGAACTGACGCGTTCATCTGAGGCACGCGCCTTCCTCTTTCTCTCTGCTGCCTGCTTCTTAGCTATGCTGGTCCCACTGGCAAACCTGGACAGCATCTGAGCAGTAGAGGAAGAGGACGACGGCTTCGGGGCAGAAGAGCTGCTTGTTTCCTTGACAGAGGAGGATGAGGCTTCTGAATCGGAACTTTTGCATGAAGACAGAGTAGAAGTGCTAGTCCTGCTTTGGGAACCCTCGCTGTCTTCCGAGTCGGCATCGTCTTCACTGTCCTTTGTAACATCTGTATCACTGCCCCCCTCTGTCTCACTAATACTTATATAGTCTTTTTTACTTCCTTTGTGATGTTTGTGGCGCTTCAGCTTTCTGTGGTCCCTGCTCGACTTGTGTTTGCTCTTTGATTTACCGGACTTCCTTTCTTCTGTCTCATGTGAGCTGAAGCTGGAGTTATCTGACAACAGAAAACAAAGCAAATTGAGCCTGAATCAGCATCAGAATAAATTAAGAACAGAAGGAATAGAAGGCAGCTGTGGTGTTCGCACCTGGGTCTGAGAACATTTGTAGAACCTGCAAAGCATCCTCCACATTCCAGTCGTGTTCCTGCAGCACCATCCGCAGCTCCTACAACAACACGGACATGAGCAAGGGTCAGAGGTAAAACACAGGAACCACTGTTTCTACAAACAGCCTTGTAAAATCTGCCTACCATTTCTTCTTTTCTCATTGTGGTCCAACATGGCTGTGAAGTCATTTTCTAGGGTCAGGCATTATTTCAAGTAACTATAATACAGATGACAACCAAGTAGTCTGTTTTGCTTTGGCATCATTGGACACATGACTTAGGCCATCATAAACATAAGGCAGATATTCTGTAAATGCAGTCAAATAAATTGAAATTCATGGTTTGTTGTTTTATTTTCAGTGTAGGGCTGAACAATTTGGCCAAAAATGTTATCAAAATAAAACGTTTCATATCTTTCAATATCAATAATTATCACGATAAGAATCAAATTGTTATTTCTTACGAGTTTAACAGCTGACTTTTGCTCCTGAGTGAAACTTGAAGAAACCTGATGGTTAATTGTGGTTTAGATGCTTCTTTTTGGTCAGAACAAACACTTGATGCCAAACAGTGGATCACTTCACAAATCTGAGGTAGAACATTCAAATCAATTATGATAAAATCTTTCTCAACAAATATGCATGAGTAAAATTTAGTAAAAGCTTTTTTCAGTCCTTTTTCTTCACCAAAATAAACATCAATAATCAAGGACTAATTCGTTTATGATTCAAGTGAATAAAATCAAACATTTACAGAATATTTATTGAACATTTGTTATATTGTTATTGAAAAAAATTATATTGTGATAATTATTGTTATTGTTTTATTGTCCAGCCATATCTCAGTGCCTAGATTTGATAGTTGACAGTGAAGTTTGGACGTTTTGGGATTCAGCAAATCACATCGCCGCAGCACTCCCCACGTATTTATTCATAATTACCCACAGTGAACACTATGTTGGCCATGTCTATAGATGAGACACTGAAAATTCTGTTGAATATGGGAACTGCTTTTCGGACACTTTATAGAGAATTCATATAATTTGTTTACCATATTAAAATGTAAGCACAGCTTAAGTAGTGTCTGGGTTGTCATAAAGTTATTGAGGTTTTTAAGTTGCAAAGCCACTGCTACTGCGCAAAGTAAAACTCACACACACACACACACACACACACACACACACACACACTACAGTTAACATGTTATGTAGAGTACATATAGTTGGAGAGGGTAGAGTCAGACTGGGCTAAAAATCATCTTAATATGACACGATACGTGTTACAGGGAGGGAGGGACAAAGTGTCCCGTGTCTTCACCTCCTTGTCCTGGTCAGGAAACTTTTTCTGCAGTCTTCTGACCATGGCTTCCTGTTTCTCCCAGCTTGGCCCTTTGCCTTCATTATCTTCTTCACCAGAAACCTTTTGGTTTAAATAAAAGAAAAGGTAAATACAAAGCTGAGAGAGACCCCTTACATTTTAAATCCAGCAAACACTTCCTGAGACTTGCATTTGGCAGTGCAGGGAAAGCCAAGATAGTGATACAGATTGTTGAACACATGGCCAATATGATAATCCTCATGCAGAATTTTCAGCTCCATTTGTTGTGCCTCGATTAAATAATAATAATCCTAATGTGTGTTTTTATTCAGTTAAATTTTTTTTTTTTATATAGCACCAAATCATAGCAGAAGTTGTCTCATTGATCCTTTCATATAGAGCAGTCTAGAGTTTTCTAGAGTTTACTCTTATTATTTACGGCAACCCAACAATTCCCAGGCACCAAGAGCTGACACTGGCAAGGAAAGTATAGTGTAAAGTCTGCAGTATGTTAAAATGTTAAAAAAAAAGATGACCCAAATTGTACTTTCAATTCAAATGACAGGATCTTGAAAAGGTGTACATGTTAGTACATTAACAGTCTTACTACTGAAGGCCTCCTCTTCTTGCTGGGTTGAATCTCACCACTGTCCTGAGAACTGCTGGATCCATCCAGTTTTCTCTTTCTGCTTTGGTCTGGGCCTGAGGACAAAATAGCCATTTATATAGCCATGTTTTTACTGCACCATTTTTCTATTCTGAATTATTTCTCACTGTTCTCCACCAGATTCAGTAGCAACTTCTTGCATCAAGTTTTGAATTTGCTTTAATGCACTGAAAATGAGCCAAACATTGTTGAACATATAAAACACAAAAAAGCTAATCTTCCTTTATGTTTTTTTTGTGTAAAGTTGATGATTTTTCTCCAACTATAAACTAAAACTTCTTTTTTATAGAATGCCTCTTAGGAACGTGTTTAACTCTTGTTTATGTGGAACAGAGTGTGGATTAGGGCTGGGCAGTATATCGGTATAAAGTACATGACAATATAATTTCAAAAGAAATATAAACTTAGACAATACCGTTTATACCGATATAGTTTGATGTTGAGTTAATTAATATGTTTCTGTAAAGTCCTGCCAGAGTTTGCTGCTCTCTCTTCCTCACCGCACAGCCCCACCCCTCCCTGTGCATGTGCACACAGCTGTCTACTCACAAAGTCTATAACAACATGGAGGGAGACTCAGTGCTGGTCGACACTGCTAAAGACCTGGCTTGTAAAAAGAAGAGCTACTGTTCAGTTTTCCACACATACACTTTTACTTTGGCGGCCGCCTAGGTATATTGGGCGACACATTGTAGCATTTTTCAGAGAAACAGAGTTATTGTGTTACAAGTCGTGACACGGTGGATATTTTACAAGCACGGACCAGGTAAAGTGATGTTATAGTGCAGATGTCATTCATTAGGTACCACGTTGGTTTTGTTGTGAAAGGCTATATAGTTAATTCGCCTCCTTAACATGCGCCGCAGCTGCTGCTGTGAACAGAATCGCGGGAGGAAAAGTTCAGAAGACAAGTTCTGGGGGGTTTTTCAGTTACCGGAGCAGACATACAGGGAGAGAGAGAGACGGAAAGAAGCGAGGCACACTGATGTGTTTGCAGCAGAGGTACGTTAGGTGTGTGAGTGTGAAGAGGACTAAAGGAAGCAGATTCAATAAGTGAGTGACACTTAAATAAGGTGGAGAATGAAGTATAATTTAAACGGTGAAATAACAAACAAGCCAAGTTACTACAAATAGTAAACCCTAGTGTGGACTGTCATTATGTGCTTATGAAAAAGTTATAATTTACCTTCTTTATCACCAAACTGTATAAGGCATGCAGCTATAGCCCCATCCAATGTGCTTGTGCTTTCAATGACCTAAAAGAGAATAGAACAAGGTGATTTGAATTCAGGAGATTAAAAGGGACTGTGTCTTATGAACATTATCCAAGTCATCGCTGGCTGATATACAAATTCAATATCTTATCATGACAAGACAGTTAGCCTAAAGTTGGTCTACTGTAAAGTCAGTAAAATCACTCAAGATATGTTTGACAGCAGACACTGCAACAAAGATCATGCAAATTGGAGTCTGTGCTGAAAAGATACAAAGCCTCTGTTCTGTCTTGACTCACCTCCAGGAGCTCCTTCCTCGTCAACTGAGGAAACATCTCCAGTAGTCTGGTAATTTTCTCCTCCAATTCAGAGTCCTCTTCATCTGTATAATCTGATTCCACGTTTTTAGATGATTTCCCTACGGCATTACTAAAGAAGAAAGACAACAAGACTGTAACACAATACGAGGCAGCTTGAATATGAATAACTTGTCCTTTTAAAGTTTACACTTACTTGGATTTCCTGGTCAATGATATTTTGGTCTTTGTCTCATCCTCCTCCAAGTCAATAGTAAGGACTTCCTCAAAAACCACTCCTCGGGCGTGGGACTTTGGTGGGGGTTTGACAGGTTTCATCGGAGCTGGAAAGCAAAACGATAAAAACAAGTTGGCGGACGCATTCAGATTAGCAAAAGATGCACTTCAAAAAATGTTTGTGAAGGTATGCTGTCTCGCTCATTTGCAAAGTTTGCAACTACTTTGGTCTTATGGCACATGTCGATGTTCTGCTGCTTGCCTCTCATGTGAAAGTATGTCTTCAACAGAATATACAGATATTGTACATATACTGGCCTTTAGGCTACGTTTCCCACCTATTTTAATGTAACTATTCATATTGCAAGTGGGGTTGTAACAGCAGAATGGTGCCCTCTGAGAATAATGGTCATGTCTACACAAGTTTCTATCTAACTCTCAAGTAATTACAGAATCAATAAACTACATAATTTTATTGGGCCTCCATCTCCTCCAAAGCCCTCTGAAATTAAAAAGATGGTGGATAATGGACTAAGGAACTCTAGTAGGCTTAAGGATCATGTGTCATTTGCTAGATTGTGCCTAACCCCACTCATTTTCTATTTTGACCTACATGCTGGTGATATACTAACATGTGAGATCTTTTTATAAACGATGACAGTAATATTTTTCTGGTTTTATATGATGCAGAGTAGGGTGACATTGTCTATTTGACTTTGCCAGTACTGTCGAGCAACAACACAGGCAGATAATCTCACTATAATAACAAAGACGTGCAAATTCATTTACATCACAGCTATTGCAGTTTGTGTCCCCGTGTGTCTAATGTTACCACACTATTACTGTGGGGGGCGGTCATTGGGACCTGCAGCACAAGACAGCATGTTAATAACCATGTTACTTAACTACTGCTAATGATAGCATTCCTGACAAATCTGGCTACCAGCATTGCAAGCTAGCTACCTGGCTTGTTCTCCTTCTCAGATTCTGGACTTATTGACCCGCTTTCCTCGCCTTTGCTTGTTGTTGTCGCTGCCTTCTTGTCAAAACGAAAACGGTCTAGATTGAACAGACTCATTTTAACCGTCGGGGTCGTGGTTGACAGCGGCAGCCCTTTGTCTCTTTCTAGCCAACAGTATTTTCTCTTGTCTGCATGAAGCACAAGGTTCCTGTTAGTCGATGTGACCACCTAGCTAACTAGCGTCGGATGTTAGCATAGCAGCCAGGGCAACAGTCCTAAAAAGACGGCGATTTTAAGCTGTGTCACTTCTCCGTTTTTAACCGCAATAGTCTAAATTTGGTCGATCAATGAAATAGCGATTTAGTATCAAATATAGTTGTTTTAACCGGAGTCCAATTAGGCTTTAAGTATCACGACTACAACCGGTTTCCCGCGAACTCCCCCGGCCCTGGAGGATGCTGTGCCGGCTCTGCTTATTGGTCAGAGAAAGAGGTGGGCGGAAACTCACGGATGAGTCAAGATAGTGCACTGTAGTGTACTTCCGTTTTTGCTCAAATCTGGTTTAAAGGGTTGCTGTGATGCTTAGCCTACAGAGTAAAGAATAAGAGGTGAACTATCTTGATAGTTTTTCCAACATTGCGTATAAAAGCTCTGATGTAGTGATGCAAAGAAAGCCAAAGATAGCTTTTTAGGACCGGGTCTCCCCCCGACGTAACCACATTACCTGTAGGTGTGGATTATTCGCAGTATGCTTACAATGTTTTCTTAAAGCAAGTTGCCCTTCTCGGCGTGTAGGGTCTGATGCTGTAGTAGTGGTGTCTAAATTACATGAAAGTTTAGCTACGCCCACTGTCTTCCATAGAGGGAAAACCTTTTTATTTACAGTCTAAGGCGCAAACGCCGTAGTCTATGGTAAAATTATGTACTGATGATAATGTATTGTTTAATTTACATTCAGTGTATTTGCCTGAAATGTCTTCAGAAAGACTAAGACCAAAAAGGTGGATCACATCACTCCAGTTCTGAGGTCTTTACATTGGCTTCCTGTATGTCAAATAATTGATTTCATAATCCTGCTGTTAGTTTATAAAGCACTAACTGGTTTTGGGCCAAAATACATTTCTGATCTTCTGCTTCATTATGAACCATCCAGATCTCTCAGGTCATCTGGGGCAGATTTGCTTTTTGTCCCCAGAGTGAAATCTAAACAAGGAGAAGCAGTGTTCAGTTATTATGCTCCGTATATTTGGAACAAACTCCCAGATAACTGCTGAAACTGTCAGTTCTTTTCCAACGAAGGTTAAAATCAAGTGCAACTGGACTTGGTTGAAGATACTGGAAGACGTTTCGTCCCTCATCCAAAGGACTTCTTCAGTTCTGACTGACTGGTAGGGAAACTCAGCTATCCCTGCCAGTCAGTCAGAGGTACAGCTAATACAGTGGCCGACTGATTTCATGTGGGGTTTGAATAGTCTCATAAATATTTACATGGCTATATATGTCAAAATGCGTAACTCATAAAACACAATGTACAAATAAACGTAGAGTGACTGTATCTCATATCTCCTCATTTAACATTTTTCAATGGAAAAAGGTATTTGTGAATCTCCACCTATTCTTGTGAATCCTTCTGAGAGTGTTCTTCCAAGCTGTTGTGTCATAAAAAAAAAGTGCAGAGAGGACCAAGCCTTTTCAGTGGATGGTGGTAATGTGATTAGATTAGATTAGATTAGATTATTAGATTAGATAGATTATTAGATTAGATAGATTTGACTTTACTGTCATTATGCAGTGTATGGGTATAGAGCTAATGCAGTAGGCATCTAAGCACAAGTGCAGAAATGTAATGCAACATTTATGGATGCCAATCTTTGGTCTTTGGACTGACTGAAAGCTGATATTATGAAGATAGAAGAAAAAGAAGATATACTTTATTAATCCCACAAGGGGAAACTCAATCATTTCACTCTGTTGTTAATGTTAGTATTTTACACAGGTCTGAAATACACACACATGCACATGTCATTATCAAGATAAAGGGCAGTCATTTATAGAGATATAAGGCATGCAGTTGTTATGGCTGTGAAAAAGGCAACATTGTAGCAGCTAGTTAGCTAGCCATGCTTTGTCACAAACAGGGAACCACTGGCAGCAGTTGGTTCTTCTTTTTCATCTGTTAAGTTTAACATCATACATAGACTATATGGTTGGTGTGATGGAAATTCTTGTAAGCCAGTCAACTCTTATTGCTGAAGAAGGTTTCGGGAAACTCGGGATGTCTTAAGCAGCAAGATTTATTGAAGCTGGCTGCGGAGAAAATAGCAACAGCAGTACAGAGTGGAAACACAGTGTAGGCCTAATGCCAGACTTTACTGTCCCTACGGAGTCTACATTGTATCCCATACAACTTATTGAATGGGAAACAATAACCATTTTATTGGATGCTGATGCCTACCTAAGTTAACCAATTAGTCACATTGTGTGACTTTCAAGTCATGTAGCACTTTCTAAAGAGAGCCAGTCACTATGTATGAAACAAAGTGAAGATAATCTTGACCTTGGGTTGCCTCAGAGTTGGACCACAGAGTTTGGCCTTATCAAGGTAGCTACGTCAGTCAGTCAACCAAACAGACAGAGAGGAGGGAAAGTGTGTCCTTTGGTTTACTTTAGCACAACAAATGACCCTAACATGACCTGTATACAACCAATACTTCACCTGTTACCCAAAGTGAGCCCACTAAGGAACTTTCCCTCACATTTGGCATCCATAAATGTTTCATTACCACCATCTACTGGAAAGGCTCGTTCTACCCTGTACTTGTGATTTTTTTGCTCAAAACAAATGGCATGAAAGAAAAGTCTCAAAAGGATCCACACAAATAGGTGGAGAGTCACAAATATATTTCCACTGAAATAAACTGAGTTTACATACTGATGATATATGAGTTGTAAAGGCACAGACATGGATCCAGATATACAGACACAAATCACTCTGGCACAGATCCAGATCCTAATTTACAGAAATAAATAACTCTGCATTTATGTGTGAATTGTGTTTTATGGACATTTTATGAGTCATCATTTATGGATTTTGTGTGAAACAGCATGGCAGAAGAGTCTCAAAGGAAAATAGATGGATAATGATGTACAAATGATGATATACAAGTTGTAAATTAGAGGCACAGATCCAGATCCAGATTTGCAGATACAAATCCCTCCAAATGTATTTGTGCATTGTGTTTTACGAATTACGTACATGGTTTGTTTGTGAATACTTATGAGACTGTTCTAATCCCATACCTTCACCCTGTGAGGAAATCCATTTTAGGTGAACATTAGGTGAATTAGCAAAACTCCAAAAAATGAGTTTTTTCTCATTATACAATATAGCCTTTGTGGGTGCAAGAGCTGCAACTCAGCAACAGGAACATTGACTTTTCCACAGCAAGTGTTCATGCTCTCAATTTTCTCTCTCAAAAAGATTGGGTAGGTAAACTTCTGAATCTGTAAGAATTTAATCAGTTGCATTCATGGATGCATAATGAAAACAAATTTGTTGGCAGCCTTGGAGGGAGTGGCTGGTTTTGTCAGGGTACAACAGGCAGTTGCATCCCAAGTTTGTCTTGGGAGAGTGAAGAAAGTAGATCTTGACATAAATGTAAATGAAATAATAATGTTATTAAATTTCAGCATCAATTTCTTAATAGTTTTTCGTCATCCAAGTTGGTGTTCAAATACACTTTTATAATAATCAATCTATTCTGTCACTACTCTCTTTCAATAGACATTTTTCACAGTGCATGTATTGACTTGTCAAACCAGAGAAAGCAAAGGTGTAATTTATAACATTAACAATGGCTCAATTCCATTTAGGTGTTTTGGTAAACCATAATAGCAACATGAATAGAATGCAGCCATTATTAATGTTATTAGCAATCATGAGAAGTAAGATAGGAAAAATTCTTTCTGGTTGTTTAAGTCAAATTCCCCTGTTTATTTACTTTGTCCACCAGATATCACACTCAGATGGGAAACTGACCATAGGTTTCTGGTGAAGTCAGACACTGTCATGCAGTTACTGATCAAAGGGGGGCAGCAGATACACATTCTCTGAGAGGAGATGAGGACATTGTGATGAGGTCTACCTGCAAGTACTGAATACTGCCCCTTTGTAACTTCTTCAACAGTGTGTGGTTGTGTTTTGTCTGCTCTCATTGATGATACTTTTGTGATGACAAATACAGAACAACCGTAATTATACACTGCATCTGAGGTCCTATACTATTCCACTGATAACATGCTCTTACAGAAGAGCTCTTGTGTAGCCTGCTCTCTGTACTCCCTTGCAAGGTCCAGTCTTATTAAGTAATTTAGGCAAAGAGTTGTTCACTAACACAGATTAGTCTGTCAAAGTTGATAATTATTATAACACGTTCAAACAAATGGCATTCTGTTACACAGGATTGTATCAGAGTTCCGAAGGTTAATTTTTAATGGTAGTGGACTCACAATAACGCGTGACTTCCCCCAGAAGTCACCACTGCCATTGAACTCCCCTTTCTTGACACAAAACAAAAGTTTACTTACCTGTACTCATTTGAACACAAACACCAGTCTTTTGATATCCACTTCTCTGGAATGACTGGAAAAGTCAGGTTTATTTTCACAGTGATTGATTTAAAACACAAAATATCAATATTATTTCAATTTATATATAATGTACAGTTTATATCACACTATTACCTTGTGCTCCCTTTGTTATCCAAACCCACATTTCACAGTTGTGTTAACACTTCACCACTAATAAACTAAACTTACACCTGTAGATTTTGCTCAGATACAGTGAATATATTATGATGATTAGGTTGGGTCCTCTCATCAGAACAACACAGCGCCATCCTGCCGCCTTACTGTCGCCCTCACTATCGTCATGGAGACCATGTAAGTTAATGCATGTGTGTGTGTGTGTGTTTTGTACACAATAGGCAGACTGACACAGAGTCTGATAGAGGTCATGACCCCACACAGCAGGAAGCTCAAACTGTGGCTCCTTGCCTTCTCCTGTCCTCCTGGTCAAGGTTTTGTGTGTATATGCATGTGTGTGTGCGTCTTACATCTGCATTAGGATAGACATTTGTTGTTTTTTCCCCCTTTGTTATGTTTGGTTGGGGTTGTTGCGTATATGTCTATCTACTATGTAGCAGTCTATGTGTGTATGGAAACGAACACACCCACACACACAGACAAGCAGGCGCATATGCATCAACACATAAATATAAATCACCAGGCCGTCCCAATGCTGAGGCAAGTCATTAACACACACACACACAAACACGCACACACATGCAAAGTGATAGCATCAACAAAAGTAGATAAGTACTGTGGATGATTTAATGGATGGTTTGGCCAGAGGCAATAACTGAGATAAAAGCCTGGAATAATTCACTCTGCAAAAGGTA